AAGAAAGAAAGAAAGAAAGAAAGAAAGAAAGAAAGAAAGAAAGAAAGAGAAAGAAAGAAAAAAAAAGAAAGAAAGAGGTGGTGAAACCCACCCTGGCTGAGGCTTTGGACTCGGAGGAAGGCTGAAGGCAGGGGGCATGGGGGCCGTGGGGGGCTTGGAGGGAAGCCCAGCTCCCTCTGGGGGACCAGGCGGGCTGGGCCCAGGTGGAGGCGAAGGTGGTGAAGGAGAATGAGAGCCTCCAGGGGAGGGAGAAGGGCTGAGGGAACAGCATGTGTGGCGGCTCAGAGGCGGGACAGAGCCTGGGAATGCCCAGAGCATCAAGAGGCCAATGGAGGGAGAGGGCAGGAGAGGGTCAGTGACCAAGAGGGGCTGAAGCCGGGGCAGCCAGGTCGCGACGAGGCAGGGCAAGGGCACAGCCAGCGCACACCTGTAGCTCAGGCCAGTCCACCTCCTCCCAGAAGCCTCAGGAGGCCCTCCTGCCCCAAGGAGTCTCAGCACCAACCTCTCTGGGCACCGGGAGTCCCTCTACCAGGAGGGAGACCATGGCTGCACCCACCGCACACCCATCCACCAAGCCCCCCACGAGGCAATGTGGGGAGGGGTCAGGGTCTGGGCACCCACCAAGCCCTCCCTTTCACAAGGAGATGGCCCCCATGAGGACAGTCTGGAAAGCAGGGAGGCCACCCCAAGCCCAGCACTCCCTTGGCCCCAGCTCCTTGCCAAGTTGCTCCTGGACCCCAAAGGGACCCAGTTCCGCTTGTCCCTCCTCCACTTTCCCCTGCCCGCCCCCTGCTGGAGCCACGAGAGAGCGGTCAGGAGTGGGGGCAGCTGAGCCAGGCCCAGAGCCCTGGGGATCAGCCCCTGCTCCAACACGGGTCCCCAGGGCAAAGCCTGCCAGGCCCACTGAGGCCCCGCCTCTGCAAAATGCCTGGTGACCCCCAAGTCCCAGGGAGGTCTTGGCCTTGGGCCAAGACTCTCACTGCTGACCCTTAGGACAGGTGAGGGCAGATGGGCAGCTGGTAGAAAGGGCCAGTTCTAAGGCGAGCTAGGGTGCTGCCCTGGGCTGGGGGCAGGGAGGGGCAGGGGTTGCTTGGGGAGGAAAGAGGGTTTGGGGAGAGGAGAGGGCGGGAGGAGCGGC